GGGTACCCGCTGATACTTATTTACCCGTTTTTCTATTCTTTTGCAAGTCTGAGAAGAAGCCTCTGTCCACATCTGATTTTGTTTAAACAAATTTAACAGTGCACAGTTCCTCAGCCCTGCACCCCCTTTCCCTTTCCCACCCATCATGGACACACGCTAATGGTGAGATGTGCACATTCCACTTTTCCTAGTATTAGTATTTTAGTGGAGATGAGACCTTCACATGTCCTGTGAGACATCCACTGTACATCCTGGGTTTTGGGTCTGGTAGCCTGCATAGATCTGTAACTTGATTCTGTAGACCCTTCCTACAAATTGTCAGGGACCAAATTTCTTGGCATACATCTTGTAGAACTCATTCTGAAGAGCTTCCTTTTCTTCTACTTGGAAATACCTAGTGGTCCATCAGTGAGGACTTTCTCCCTGGGGCTGTGGATGCTTCTCAGCCCTGTCTGCAGACAATCATGGCCCCAGGGTCCATTCATCCCTACGCAATAACAGGACCCCAGGCTCATCTTTGTTTCATAAAGGAACAAATGACAGAGAGAGGTAGAAATTTTTATGTAATCTGATTCAATTTTTTATATTTTGGATAACTCCTGCCTCTCCCTCAGCTCTCTAGAATTCCCCAGATGGGGATGAGCTTTGGTAATTTTGCCTTTAATAGGGAACAGCTTCAAAGCAGAGCTGTGTGGGAATGGTGTGGGTGAAGTATAAACTTAATATGAAAATTGAGATCTTCTCTCTGTCCCTCTTGCCTCAATTCCAACCCATCATTTCTTACCTTTTTTCTTTTGTGAGCTTCTCCAAAGTCCACACAAAGATTTCTTCTTCAGCTCAGGTATCATCAAGGTGTCATTTTGTGCCTCTGGGTAAGGTGCAAGAGGCCCCACTGCTTGGCTTTTCTAAGATAGTCTTCCAAGGGTTTGTCTAAGACAGATGACTTTGAGACCTGTGTTCTTCATTGAGGAATGCTAAGATGGCTGTTTCCCCAAATACAAGATCTTGTTCGTGACTGATGAGCAAGATTAAGCAGATTGTCCAGGTTCTCCTCACCAGGAGCTGCTGTAACCTCAATCCCACAGGTCTGCCATCATAAATTCTGGTGGTATCATGTAATTCAGAGAAAATCTTAGCCTCAAAATCATGTTTTTGAGGAATGAAGTCGCCAGCTGTGTTTATTTGAACCTTACAATACATGTAAGACTCTGTCCCTCTGTGCGTAGCCGTGTAGAGTATACAAAAAGAGATTCCCCTGTTCTGTATAATTAATTTACAGTGGATGTCTCTTTTCTGGTGTACGTTTGAACTCTTTATTCTTTGTTCATTGTGAAGGGCTTAACGGTTCCTGTTCCTTGATTCTTTCATTGGTGAAATGTTTTGGAAGAGAGGTTAGAGTCCCCCTGTGACCTGCCCTGGGTGGCCCAAGCCTGTAGACCTTGCAAAGACATTACTTTTTTGGCCTGAACACAAGTCTCTCAAACCTTTAGCCTGGCTAAATGCTTTGTACAAACAGCCGCATACTGATCTGCTCTATTCTCTTGTGATTTTCTGCTCAAGGGGCTGTACTGTAGGTGGCTTGCTATGTTTGCCACTTGCCTTGGTAGTGGAGACAGTACAATAAATGAATCCGACAGTACTGAGGCCAGCACTGTGCTTGGTTGTTCCGAGAAAATTATCCTGAAATCTGGTTGAAGAGATTAAAACCAAGAAGAACTGGCTGTGTCTTTCCTCTAAAGCTCTGTTCTCCTCTTTGTTTCTTTTTTTCTTTAAGACTTTGTTCATTCCTCCTTCAAAATGGGTTTGTGGCATTGGTATGTAAAATGTGACCTACGATTACAGAAGGTACGGCTATTTTTATAACAACCATGGGGTGAAGCATTGCATTCATTCTTCTTCAGGCTCCTTACAGCCAAGTGCTGTAGCAGCTTTCTTCTGGCATCTGAGCTGTATTCTCGCTCTCGTTTCTTCCGTAATACAAATAATATGATCTCACACGCCATTTCACTTCTTGAATGTCAATTGCATTGTTAATGCAATAAAGCCTGCAATCTGTTGTATTGATGAGAATTACTGTTCAAGCAAATGTTGGTTCAATGTGCTACCGTTGTTGTGCTGTGCAGTGTTACAGCGCGGTGTCACTCTGTAACTCACTCACAGCCTTCCTCTCATATGGTTCCTTAGTAAGAGATGGTTAAAGGTGAGCTCCTAACTAGCAACCATGTCTTGGGATGAAATCTGTCTTGGGTTGCTCATGAGAAGATGACAGTAGTGATAAATTCACGAGTCTTGTGAAAACATTCAAGAGCCAGTCACAGGCATTTTCTCATGAGAATTTGAAATTCATGGTTTTGGGAAGATCCTAAATTTCACAACTCCATCTGTGCTTCCAAATAGATATCTAGCAGCTGCAAAGCCCTTAAATCAAAAATAGAAATTTTCTTTCATTGCAGTCCTTTCAGGGTTTCTGCTTTCCAGTGTTTCTCCAAATATAATTAGTAACATGATGTGACCCCATCTTTAGAGGATAGGACATAGCCGTTCAGCCAGTTGGGTACCTCAACCTGCGACATTGAGCTGCCCAGGGCAGTTTCAACCCTCGAGAGGATGCTCAAACACTGTTTCTGGTGTCTCAAAGTTTTTAGCTTCTCAGGTACGTGCTTTTCCAAAGTGGGGGTGTTTTAGTATTGACGTGGCTTTTTGGATAATTTTTCCATATGAGACAGTGGGGTGTACAGTGAATGTGTAAAGATGATTTATGCCTTGCAGATCAGTCAGAAAGCTTGTGTTAGTCTTCCTTTGTGTGTGTATGCTGGCACAGGCAAGCTACAGTCAAAATTTATAGCAAATGTACATTAAAATGCCTTTACAGCTAGAATTAATTAAAAAGGTTTTTGAGGGTTAAATATAAATTCTCTTTGTACTATTTGCAATCCGAATATTGCAGTGTTGGTCAGTGAAGCTGGCTGGCTGGAAGATGAGCAGGTCCTATCTCTGTCCAGTCCCGTCCTGTGCAAACGTGGCAAAATCCATAGGCACAATGATGGATGGTTTCTCCTGGATTTGATTTATGTTTTTCCTATCCAAAATCTAAATATGAAGAGTCATATACATACTTTCTATTTTTATTTTTTATTATTCATTTCTAGTAGTAACGTTGGATAAAAATAATGGTTTTACAGCCATGTTTGCTATTGTTCTGCAGGAGTTGTCACTTGAGTGATCACTGCAAAGATCAGTGATTGTTTCAATCTTAGAGCTCTTCTGACATCTGAAAATATTAAAAGGCAAAGCCATGGAAGTCTTAAAACTGGCCACTGTGCCCCTGGAGGTACCTGTGTCTGTACTGAAGGATGTTCTCTATTTCAAGATTTTAATGGAAGATGGAGCAAGAAAGCTGACAAATAACCCCTCTTTGGTTTCCAGAAATAAGGCAGTTGAGGAATAGGGCCGAGTCCCAGTGTCTAATTCATTAGTCTGTCCTAGTTAGAGCCGTGGGGACTGCTCAAGTGACTGGGCTGCTATAGGAATTCCTTCAAAATAGGACTGTGATGATTTGTTTTCTTTCTTGTGGCATGCACTTGAAAATAAGATAACTTTTGGAAGGAGAAGCATTCAAGGAGAAGACCACCTGGCATGAGATGACTCTGCTTAGCGTTTAAGGACAAAACAGGCTTTGTCCTCCTACGTCTCTGCAGTCATGGAGACAGAAGGCAAAGTCATCCTTGGTTTTTGCTGAGCAATCCTTTGTCCTAAGCTTTGTGGAGATGCAGAAGTTTTTTTGGGGTTCTTGTATGGTAAAAAACAAAATAGTTGGGTGATAATGATACATAACTTAAAAGTCTGTCGGTTCATGTATGTTTTCTCTCCCTTCTTCCTTTCTATCATCACACTCAGTTGCATCTCAAGAAAACATTTTGTTTCAGCATCTTCAGTGTCTACAGGAGCAACGAGATTCAGCCAGAGGCAGAAGCTCCCTCTTGAGTCTTTCATGATGTTGAGTTGTGGCTTCACAAATTAGGACCCTCAGTGACGAAAAGTTGCACAGAGAGCAGAGATAAAGCTGTTACTTGTGTAGCTAAAGAGGGTGACAATTAAGTGAAATTGGGCAAAATGAACCTGAGGCGTTATCTTCGAAAGGCACATTTGAGTATGCGCAGTTGTTGGCTTCATGAGCGCTACCGAGTAAAAGCTGTTAAATGACATGGAAGACCTAATCTAACGCGGATTCACTCAAGTCCCCCTCAGTGGTTTTGGACTTGGTTTAAATAATGGATTAGAAGAAAAATAAACAACTGAAGTATGAAATTTTTGGCCAGATTACACTGGAAGGAGGTAAATGTGGCCTTGGAAATATTCTCTTCACTTTAGAAGCCAATGTTATTCAGTTGTCAGATGTCTTCATCCAACATAAATAAATACGCCACATAATGGCCGCGATTCTTCCCATTTGGGGTGACTGTACACTGGCAATAGCGCGCCATACCAGATAATGCAAATAATCTGCTCCCGAATAATTAATGATGTGGCTGGGCATATTTTTTTGATGAATGCTTATGGAGCCTGGTGACAGGCGTGAAATTAGAAAATTCCTTCAGCGCCCTAAAATATAAATAGCTTTCGGAACTGAAAGGAGTTTCACAGCTGAAGATTTTATTGTGTTGAGAGGAAAAACTTTTCCACCCCCATCCCCCCCTTCTTCTCGGCGAGTTGTTTGTCCATTCACAAAACAAATACTCTGAAGCCCAGTACGGCTCATGGGAATAAATTTCAGGTCGAATTAGTACAGTTTCCTTGCTGTCAGGACGGTGGAATTAATGGTGTTTTGATGACACGAATTTTGAAGGGCGAACAAAGACGCTGAAGGGAGGGAGACATGACTCCTTAGAAGCGCGGTCCTCCTCTCCCCCAGCCTCTCTTGTCTTCCCTGTCATCCGTCTGCCAATCTCCCTGTCCATGGTTAGTTAAAGGCGCTTTTTATCCTCTTTTCTTTCCCACAGAGTTTGCCAGATCCGGCCCAGTGCCTGGGTTCCAAGGGGACACGCTGCAGTTGGCCTTCATCGACTTGAGACAAGTAAGTCTTTGTGTTTTTGTTTTTTGTTTTTCTTTTAAGATGTGTGACTGAAGACCATCAGGTCTTAAGGAAAAGGAGAGGAGGGGAAACGGCGTCGGTGATTTACGCCAGAGACCTATATTTCCCCCCCTCCTCCTCCCTGCGCTCGAAGCCACCTCCTTATTGAGTGCTTCGGGGTCCTGGAGATGGTGGAGGTGAAAAGGGCTGGTGGTACGGGGGCGAGAAAGAAAGCCATGCCTGACCCTGGCCGATGGGGTCCATTGTGCTTCTGTTGGCTTCGGCAGATGTGGCAAAAAGATAACTCCTCGACTCTCCCAGCTGACGCCAAGCAGGTGGTGCTAACAGAGAGAGCAGTGATGCAGAGACCGCCCGCCTCGAGGACTTTTGTTCACAGATAATGCCCACAGAGACATTTTGCGAGGGTGAAGGAATTTGCATTCGGGCTTGTGTGGGGAGGGTATGCCTGTGTGCGCGCCCGTTTGTGTCCGTCTTTGGCTCAGCAACTCCCTTCCCAGTCCCCTCTTCCGCAGATGGTCCCCAGCCATGAATGACAAAGTGGCTGTTGGGGAAGATGATTGGGGAAGGCTCCACCCATCAATGCCCACCTCTCGAGGGGGCCCCGTTAGAGCCAAGTTGACCATAGCAGGTACTGAGGCATTTGTGGGGCTTGGCAAGCCAATTTAGGGAAAAGGGCCATTCTAGCGAGTCATTTGTTTGGGGTAGAAATAGGCATTATTGATATACTAGGCTGGGGGGAAAAAGTGAGGTGGTCCTGTCATCTCTTGGCACCGAAGATGGATGAGTTGGATAGAAAGTCTGAATGAAGTAAGACTCAATGACTGATGCTTCTCTCCTATTAAAACAATCTTTTTTTGTCTGTTAAACCCCCCTGGCTTTGTCCCTCCTGCCATCATGATGCAGTGCCTCTTGTTTTCAGGGTTGACGTAGTTTGCATTCTGAAAACTTTCGGGTGCCGAGGGTATTTCTTAAATCTGCATAATCCCTTGTATCGATGATCTCCTTACCACTGGGACTCTGTTTCATGCTGGAGCCGCTTTTAACCCGTAAAGGTTTGAGAACTTCTCTGAATCCAGTTGATGTGCAGGGAGGAATCTGTCATGACACTTCTGCAGAGCAGGAATAAGTTTAATAGCGTTGAGATGCCGCGTGTTTCTTTTTCAGACTTGGACCTGCCAGTAATTGCCAAATTTGTTTGTAAAATGGTCAGAATAGCTACATGGGAAAGGTATCACTGCTACATGTTGACACTTTTATCTTCATTAGCTTCTTGGCACTTTATTGACTGCTGTACGCAACACGCTCGCAGCCTCCTGGGTCTAAGGAAATGTGGAGTCTTTGGTCCTTTTCCAAGCATGAAGGCTTGAATGCAGGGATTTTGAAGAGGAAAGCTGTGGCTGTTTGAAGAATGAAATGCCTTAAAAATGCTCAGTGAGGTTCAGCTGGTCTGAGCCAGTGCATTAGCAGTGAAATGTTTATATGGTTCATACGTGGAAAACGCAGCCAAATGAATTCAACTCGGGTGGGGAAAAAGCTGAACAGTAGCCCTCTACAAGTGTTCTTCCTCTGTCAAATGTTCTTCTCTGTACAAAGCATTTTCTTCTTTCTTTTGGAAAGTAGTCCCACCTTTTTTTCTTGCATTTAAAAATAATAGCTTTTCTGAATGTTGCAAGGAGAAAGTGTAGGTGCTGTGGCCTCGTGAGTTTGAGGTGAGGACAGGCAGTCTTAGATCATCTTCTGGATAACAGGGATGCTTGTTGATGCCACATACTGTACAGGTAATAGACAACATGTCATTGCTCCAGGTAGAGAAGAATCCACCTGTCACTGGCTTATTGAGGTTGGCAATAATGTGCAAAGATACGAGATACTTCCCAGCTCCCTTGATCCTATCGATGATCTAAGCCCATGACATGTAATGTGTTGCCAAAGTCCATCTGTGTGGAGTTCTGTTGGCAGCTTTGGGGCTGTCACAGCTCCAGTGCTCCCACCACTGTGGAGTTTCTTGTAGGACTGCAGCTACAGCTGGAGGGCCTGGAAGCAGGGGATAGCTGGAAGGGGGGTGGATGGATGAAGGTACAGCAGAGAGAGGTCTTTAATTTGTTCTTCGACTTGTTTTTAATTTGTGGGTTTTGGACATTGCGTTCTTTGTCTTTTAAGCGGCTAAATTTTGACAGAATACTGACTTCAAGCTGTGACTGGGGAAAAGATACCACCTGAAAGTGTTTGTGTCTGTTTTCCTTCACCTTGGAAGGAACACCAGCGTAGCCCATGAAAAGGTGTTTCCAACCTGAAATCCAGACAGACTTCTCAAAATGTTAAAAGTAATTTCAGGCTTATATTTCAGGTAGGTTTATACTTACCGTGGAGCTGTCCTGTCAATTTGTGTGGCTTTGCACAGGCAGGTGGAAACAGTCTGGCTTGGTTGTGTAGAGAGGAAAATGACTGAGTAAATCACACTGAGTAAGTATATTTCAGTACTAGCTGTCACAGAGCAATTGTAGATGAGAGGAGAACTTCAAAGTAATGTGGGATGATTAAGTTTAAGGGAATGACCAAAATTAATTCTTAGTACAATAAAATATAAAATGGTAGAAGAATCTAATGATTTGGTTTGTGCTTGAATACAGATCCTTGTAGTGGAAAATAAACCCTGTAAAAATGTCATTGTCTAGGAGTGTCAGAGTTCCTCCTTGTTCAGTGCAGCAGACCCAAGTGTAAGATCCCTCTGTACATAGAAAGCCTGATTTTTTCCTTGCACTTATGGAAATTGGAAGCAATTCCATCACCCTATGGTAAAGAGGAAAAAGAGTCAGGCCAGATAATCAAAATTGCTATTCAGAGTAGACAGTAAGTTAAAAAGTTACTTTTCTTCCCATCCTGGGATAATTCTAATTCCATAAATGCCTTTGATGAAGTGACAAAGTAAAACAAGTCACATCTCAAATCCTTCTGTAAAAGCCCTTTTATAACATGGATCTGACAGTGATACTCAAATATTTAAGGCTTTACAAGGAAGCAATTGTTGCTTTTCCCCCTTAAGGTTTCAAATTTGCTCTTATGCACTTGGTGCTACATGGTAAAAATCTGCAGTAAATTTAATTCCATAAATAACCTTGCTAAAATATGAAAGGTGCCTAAAAATTAAGTTTTCTGAATCTTTATTTTAAAAGTGACTTAGGCGCTTCTGTCCAGATACTGTTGAATGTCTGAATAGCACTGAAGTTCTCCGGGAGGCTTTCAAATCAGCCCCACGCCTGCACATGCAGTAAGTTCACTGTTCTCTCTGCAGCTTCTGGCCAGCTGGAAATGTTTTAGCTTTTAATTTTCATGGGTTTATTATAAGAAAGTTAGTTAAAGAGGAAGGTTTTATGTTTGTCTGTGAACTCACTGCAATCCACAGCCATGCTGATCTCTCCTAGAAGCCAGATCGACACTCGTGGCTGCTCGCCAAGGAAAAGCACTCGAAGAATTTCACTCTGGGCTCTAGCAAGGGAGCGTCCTCGATGGATTAGAGCTCTTTACTCTCGGCCTCTCTGTCTGTCCAGCGAATTATAAATCCTGTGTGTTCAATTTCCTCTGCAAGTGCAAACCTCAGCATCGAGGGAGATTCAGAGAAAGGCAAGAGGAGGCTGTCTTTTTGGAGGCACAGATATCTACAAGGGAGGATCCGTTCTTCTGCTCCATCTTTTTTCTATTCTACTTAATGGTTCTAACTTGACAGTGGTTGTGAATTTGAGCATCAACCCTTCAGACCCGAGGTTAATACAGGCAAGCGCTATCGTTGGGTGTGGAGCAGCTCTACTGCTTCCCACTTGTCCCATAGCAAACTTTTTTCCATCTTTTTACTGTGTTTGAAAGCCAGTTGTGGTTATTGTGGGTTCATGATGGATGCCGGCCAACTGAGTAATGAGAGGTCTCCCTCTCAAGCATTAATTTTACCCCGATACAGGTGCTTAATAAAACAGTGTTCCCCTCAGGAATACAATTCCCTTCCATTCCTGCTCTGTGCCCTGTTCTTCCCTTCATACAGGTTTCCTATCTCTTCTGCATTGTTTGCATAAGTACTGGAGAGATGTTTTTTCCATTTACAGGATGAAATGCAAAGTTAGGCAGGAACTTTTAGCTGTATGAAATGTGCAGTTGTTCATCTTTGTGACCATTCTAATTTCCTCCAGTGATTTCTGAATCTTCTGGCCCATTTTGACCATACTTGGTTGGTGGGCTTCAAAGGTGTAACAGACCTACACATTTTTCTGAGCCAAGATAGAGGAGAAAAGCTGCAGTGTGAACTCATCCCTTAGACTCAACCTTGAGAGAGACATAGGGGGAAACTTGGATTTCTTGGTTCTATGGTTGGTTTAAGGAACCATCTGCTCTGTTGTAGGGAACAGCAAACTGTGAGGTTATGTTGAGACATCCAGTAATCCTGGCATTCATTGATATCCAGCTTAGCTTCTTACCAAAGCATCAGATGATAGATAAGTTTTTTAAAACTCCAACTTGGTTATTTGTTGCTTTAAAGGCACTTGAGGCTTGGACTTGTGCAAGGTGAGTCTGTATCAACTGAGATGTAGCCCTGTCTCCTACTGCTACCATGTGGTCCAGGGCTTCCATACCTAGCACCAGGAATGGTGGCCAAGGGGAAGCTCTTGCAAATTTAAGCTGAAGGGCCACGACTGCATAGGTCGGTGCCTTGACAGGACACTGCAAGGCTCTGGTCACCTCTCTGTTACCAGAATTGAGAGGTGGAGATAGTCCTTCCAAGAGCTCCAAGGCAGCACCCAGGACAGTATGCAAGTTCATTCCCACCAGGCAGGAAAGGCAGGAAGCCCCGAGTTGTGGTTTTTTTTTTTTTAATTTGTTTTTGTATTTTGCAGTTAAATGTTGTTTCTCTGCCCTGCAAAGTCTAATGAAATATCTGAGGAGCAGTGTGAAAACAAGATGCTGGGTGAGCCTTGGAGCTGGTCCTGAGCCTGCTG